TTTTAAAAAAATCTTTATTATTTTTTTACTGTGTTCCTTGACTTTCATTGTCATAGCTTTTCATGTTTATTTCATGATACTGACTGGATTGAGTAGGATTTATTCACAACTTTCTGAATTTCATTTTTAAAAAAAATCACAATTCACATAAAAAATGGTTTGTGATCGTGCATCTTTCACAGTCCTAGGAAAGTTATGGCACCCTGAAAATCCTTTGTATGGATTCCTAGATATGGTGAATAGACCCTATTAAGAATGTGCATGTGATGTTACCATAGTCAAATTACACACAACACACACACACACAAAAACACATACATACTTTCCTCAACTGAATATAAAATTTGACAATAAAGTAGTCCCTGAAGAAACAATTTCACATTGCTTCATATTAAACTTCTAAAAATGTACAGATAACTTGTCTTTAAACAAATGGAAAATATTAATAGAGAAAAGAGAAATTCAGCCAATGAAGTCAGTAGTATGTATTGTTTTCTTAAAATGAGCTAATGTACAAGGTAAAATATTATGAAACATCTTTTAACCATCTCATATTTTCCAATATATCCTAAAAATGGGGAAGATTTCATCAGTTAAAGCACTAGTCTAACTGGACATGTGTTATAATATCAATTTTAGTGCATGTATGCCCACCAGCATGTTTTATTTCTTTAAAATGAAAATAATTAACTATATTATTCAAAGTTCTAGTTTTACAGTTAGCACCAAAGGGAATAGATGGAAGCAGTTTTAATAACAATTGCCGTCTAATTATCAACAATTTTTTTTCATAAATGCTAGTTTTCTGCCTTTTCTCCCCATCTAATTGTATAGAATTCTTTTTAATTTTTAAATGAGAGGTGCCCAAGAGGCGATTGAGCCCACCAATTCATATGAAACAGCAACAGAGATGGGTAACATAATGTCAGATTGCAGTTTTCTTTTATTTCTGATTAGACTGTTTTAGCTAACACTTAAGGAAGCAGAAGTCTGAACAGCCATATCTATTTAAAGTCTGAATTAAGGCATATTATCAGTGGTGAAATTCATTTTTTTTTACTACTGGTCTGTGGGCCTGGCTTGGTGGGCGTGGCAGATGAAGGATACTGAAAAATCTCCATTCCCTCCCTGCTCCTGGGACCAGTGAGAGGTGATACTTGCTGGATCTTCGAACTACTCAAAATTTCCTCTACCAGTTTTCCAGAATCTGTCAGAACTGGCTGAATTTCACCCCTGCATATTATGATTGTCCACATATTACAATGCATCATTTATATATTTTATGAAGAAAACATATTGACAATGACAAATAGACAAATGACAAATACAATCTGTACCTTGCGGTCTTTTATCCTGAATAGTTTACCACTATTCATTATCTAAATTCTCCCTATTTTCTCTAGGGCTTTATCTCCAGGGAAAGCATCAAGGGGATGGTTCAACTTCTCTACATATGGCTCTCTGTAGGAGACCATGGGGATGCTGCAATGGCCATAACTTTGGGCACAACTCAAAAAGTCCTATGTTGGTAAAGAGGACATTTATAATAACACTGTAATGAAAAGTTGGATATTCTATAGCTAACAGTAATAACAAACATATTAAGCATGTTTCTTAGGATCCTAAGATTAGAGTACTAAATACAATGTTTCCTTTACCTTCCACCAACACTTATTTATTTTTATTTTTCATTATAATTATTTATTTTAATCATCCTTTTTTGAAGTTTAATTTCTGTTGTTATTTTATCATTTGTTGCCACACTCCAAATTTCATTAAACCCCTCATTTCTTTGAATATCCCCAATTTCGTCCCCAATATTTAGTCACCACTAATCTAGCTGCTATGCTGGCTGGAGAATTCTGGGAGTTGAAGTCCACAAGGCAAGTTTGGGGACCACTGTCCCATGGAGTCACGCGGTAGCATCTGACACGCCTCACGCCATCAACCTAAGTCACCAACGCGACAACCAGACGCGAGCTTATCCCCCGCGGACTTTTGAGTTTGCGCCGCCCCTTCCCCCCCTCCCCCGGGTTTCCGGTATGGAGAAACGGAGGTGACGCACCGCGCGCTCTTGCGCCTGCGCACTAGCCGGCGAGCTGTCACGGCGCTCGCCTCTTCAGTTTGCCGTTGCTGTGGCAGCCGTGGCCTTTGTGGCCTGGCTGCGGGACGATTCGGCCAGGACGGAGGCCCCAGGAAACACCAGCGGCAGCTCGGCCGCTTTCTCCTCCTCCTCCTCCCCTTCTCCATCCCCGCCGCAGTCGCTCACCTTGCTGGTGATGCAGCCCTGCGGCGGGGACGGAGAGGCGGTGGGCGCCATGCTGCAGCCTCAGGTGGTGCAGCCCGCGCAGGCTGTCTCCAAGGCGCCGTCCGCCCAAGGCGGCCTCATGCTCTTCTACGAGCTCGGCCCCGCGGGAGACGCCGAAGGGGACAGCGAAGGCGGCGCCGGGGCCACGGGCGCGGACGGGGCGTGCAGTCCTGCTGGCGGCCTGGATGACCTGGACGACGAGGACGAGAGTGGCGCCCAGTCGGGGGGAGGCGGAGGCGGCGGATGCAAAAACTGCACCTACGAGGGTTGCAACGAGACCACCACCCAGGTGGCCAAGCAGCGCAAGCCGTGGATGTGCAAGAGGCACCGCAACAAGATGTACAAGGATAAGTACAAGCGCAAGAAGAGCGACCAGGCCCTCGGCAGCGGCGGCGGTACAGGCGGTGCCGGCGGAGGAGGAAACGCCCCCTGCTCGGCTACCGCGGTTGTAGCAGCGGCGGCGGCGGCGGCTGGAGCTGCCCTTTCGGGGAGCGGTGGGCGAATTGAGGTAAGGTGAAGGGGCGGTCACAGCCACGGGCTGAGTTTCTTCTCTTGGGTTTAAACGAATAAACGGCATAAAGCACCCTACCCTGTTAGGCAGCGGCAAGATTCAAAAAACATTTTACTACAGGTTTTGTGGGCGTGGCACGGCATGGTGGGGGTGGCAGGGGAAGGATAATGTAAAATCCCCCTTTCCTCCCGATCAGCTGGGACTCAGGAGGGAGAGAATAGATGGGGGTGGGGCCAGTCAGAGATGGTATTTACCGATTCTCCAGAAGTGGTCAGAACCTGCTGAATGCTAATTCTAAACCAGAAAGTGGGTTCGTTCAGTAAATAGAATAGAACAGTGTTTCTCAACCTTGGCCACTTGAAGATGTCTGGACTTCAACTCCCAGAATTCCCCAGCCAGTGAATGCTGGCTG